AAAACAGATTTTCTATTTATAGTAACAGTGACCTTGACCTTTGACCTTCGGACCTGAAAAGCAATCCCAAGCAAGCACTTTTGGTAAGGAAGCACTGCATGAAGTTTGAGTTTGATCGGCCCAAGGAAACTCAAGTTATTGCACGTAAACAGATTTTCTATTTATAGTAACAGTGACCTTGACCTTTGACCTTCTAACCTGAAAAGCAATTCCAAACAAGCACTTTTGGTAAGGAAGCACTGCATGAAGTTTGAGTTTGATCGGCCCAAGGAAACTCAAGTTATCGCACGAAAACCTCTGTTCGGACGCCGCCGCCGGCGCCAAAGCAATACCTATGTGTCACCAGCTTTTCGCAGGCGACACAAAAATGATGTGACTCTCTACCTTAAACATTACAAAGTATTAAGATATAGTCTTAAAATTATCCAATAAAAGCCAATGATTAGTAATATACGTAGAAGTAGGGTATTTTTTATCTGCAAAACTTTTAAAAGAAAACATCAAATGCCAGTGAAAAATCCATACAAAGAGTTTAATTTTTCATATGCATCCCTCAGCCTTAAAAAATGTAACCCCCTGGGATGTAGTAGAGATTAAACAGACTACATAGATTACACAACCATATCATCAAGGTTAGTTATCTTACAGGGTTTAAATGATTACAATTAAATTGTAGTATATCCTGTTGCATAAATACAAATCAGCATTGAACATGTCCATCTATACACTTGTCCAGCAGTTAGTCTAAATCAATGTATCACTTGTTTCTTCATAAAATGTTTTTCAGAATTTTAGAAACAAACGATCATGTAAAGATGAAAAAATCCTGGATTTCTAAGGATTACTCATCTCAAAATTAAAATACCAATCTGAAGTGGTTCAAAACTGGTAAAATATAAAACACCAATAAATATATACATACACATTAACATGTATACAAGTACAAAATAAAGGTTGAGAACAAGTAGATCTTTAAAGAATCAATATTTAGCATTTAAATTGATACATCAAAACTTCATAACAGGTTATAAAAGCAGATATTGCAAGTTTGTTATAGGGTAACATTGTACAAGTTTTTTTATATCCTCATAACTCCTGGTCTACAAGGTGGAAATATATATCAGTATGTGAGGTTGGGTAAAAGTTTATTGCACACAGCCTTGAGATATATATCTTGTTTGTTTTTTGATGTCCTATTAACATCTTTGGTCATTTAAGGACATGCCAGGTTTTGGTGGTGGAGGAAAGCCAAAGTACCCAGAAAAAACCCACTGATGGTAAATATAGTTTACTAAGGTTTTCAAGCCTTATGACCATCTTCAGGGGATTCATAATGTTGTAACCATGACATCAAAAATAATTTAACTGAAGATGGCTGTAATGCTTGAAAACGTAAGCGAAAATCAACTCTATTTTGTTTTTACCATAGAGCACCAAAGTTGGTAACATAAATACTTTTACAGTATCATTAAATTTGATTCTTATTACTGAACCAAGTCTCCAAATACACTTGATATTTCATAAAAACCTTCTCAATGATTCTATTAATTGATACTCGAGTTAAGAAATGACTTAAGTTAAGGATATATGCTACCTTACACATTATACCTGTAATTTGTGTTAGAGTTAAGGATATATGCTACTTTATACATCATAATATCTGTGATTTGTGTTAGAGATAAGAATATATGCTACCTTATACATCATTATACCTATGATTTGTGTTAGAGTTAAGGATACATGCTACTTTACACATTATTATACCTTTAATTTGTGTATGAGCTAATGATGTATGCTACCTTATTAATGTGTTGAAGTTCTCTCTCGTTAAAACATTTGTAAATCACTTAATTTTTGCAAATACATATTCCTGTGATGTACATTACAGTAAGGTAGCATACATCCTTAAGTTGATGTACATCACAGTAAGGTAGCATACATCCTGAAGTTGATGTACATTACAGTAAGGTAACATACATCCTTAAGCGAATGTACATTACAGTAAGGTAGCATGCATCCTTAAGCGGATGTACATTACAGTAAGTTAGCACACATCCTTAAGCTGATGTACATTACAGTTAGGTAGCATACATCCTTAAGCTGATGTACATTAAAGTAAGGTAGCATGCATCCTTAAGCGGATGTACATCACAGTAAGGTAGCATACATCCTGAAGTTGATGTACATTACAGTAAGGTAGCATACATCCTTAAGTTGATGTACATCACAGTAAGGTAGCATACATCCTGAAGTTGATGTACATTACAGTAAGGTAACTTACATCCTTAAGCGAATGTACATTATAGTAAGGTAGCATGCATCCTTAAGCAGATGTACATCACAGTAAGGTAGCATGCCCCCTTCAGCTGATGTACATTACAGTAATGTAGCATGCATCCTTAAGCGGATGTACAGCACAGTAAGGTAGCATGCATCCTTACGCTGATGTACATTACAGTAAGGTAGTATACATCCTTACGCTGATGTACAATCCTTAAGCTCATGTACATTACAGTAAGGTAGCATGCATCCTAAACCGGATGTACATTTCATGTACCAAGAATACTAAGGAACATTGTTTACAGAAGTAGATGTATATCTAAAGGATGTACATTACAGTAAGTTAGCACACACCCTTAAGCTGATGTACATTACAGTTAGGTATCATACATCCTTAAGCTGATGTACATTAAAGTAAGGTAGCATGCATCATTAAGCGGATGTACATTACAGTAAGTTAGCACACACCCTTAAGCTGATGTACATTACAGTTAGGTATCATACATCCTTAAGCTGATGTACATTAAAGTAAGGTAGCATGCATCATTAAGCGGATGTACATCACAGTAAGGCAGCATGCATCCTTAAGCTAATGTACATTACAGTAAGGTAGCATGCATACTTAAGCTGATGTACATTACAGTAAGGGAGCATGCATCCTTAAGCGGATGTACAGCACAGTAAGGTAGCATGCATCCTTACGCTGATGTACATTACAGTAAGGTAGTATCCATCCTTAAGCTGATGTACAATCCTTAAGCTGATGGACATTACAGTTAGGTAGCATACATCCTTAAGGTGATGTACATTAAAGTAAGGTAGCATGGATCCTTAAGCGGATGTACATCACAGTAAGGCAGCATGCATCCTTAAGCTAATGTACATTACAGTAAGGTAGCATGCATCCTAAACCGGATGTACATTTCATGTACCAAGAATACTAAGGAACATTGTTTACAGAAGTAGATGTATATCTAAAGGATGTACATTACAGTAAGTTAGCACACCTGCTTAAGCTGATGTACATTACAGTTAGGTAGCATCCATCCTTAAGCTGATGTACATTAAAGTAAGGTAGCATGGATCCTTAAGCGGATGTACATCACAGTAAGGTAGCGTGCATCCTTAAGCGGATGTACATCACAGTAAGGTAGCGTGCATCCTTAAGCGGATGTACATCACAGTAAGGCAGCATGCATCCTTAAGCGGATGTACAATCCTTAAGCTGATGGACATTACAGTAAGGTAGCATGCATCCTCAACCGGATGTACATTTCATGTACCAAGAATACTAAGGAACATTGTTTACAGAAGTAGATGTATATCTAAATAATCAAAATAAAACAGCCATGATTCTTTTTATCAAGTTGACATAAAAATGCAACTATATGCAACAAAAATATATAAAGACAAAAACTAACACTGACCTGAAAAATGTAAATACCAAGTACAGAATTGATGTAAAATTGACCATATTGATATAAATGTATACAATTAAACAAATATATCAAATATATTTACTGGCCTTAGTAAAGCCGCAAGACAATTAAATAAAGTTTGAGCATCTAGTAGTCGTTTTATCTATAATCAATCAATCTGGTGTTCTGTAGAACAAGTGCCATCTTAATCTTGATATTTTTTTACACCGGGGAAGCACTATAAACTAGACTAGGATATGTCTGGGTCAACCGTCCAATCACTGGCGTTGACTTGGAGGTTGGTAAAAAGCCTGTGTGGGCTTATTCTGATCAGGACGTGCTTGGCGTCGTCGGAACTCCATAGTGTTGAAGTGGTTGTCATGGCCGAGTAGTTGCCCCTGTGATTGGCTCCCATAGTCCACATACTGCTGATTGGGAGGCTGTTGATGAGGTAGGTACTGACTGGGGGGCTAATAAACGAATATAAAATTAATACCAAATTAATTCTTACTGAAGTTGAAATTTCTCTTTCATACCTACAAGGTAATTCTTTTTCTCTCAACCAATCAATGATATGTTCCAAAACAATGATCATCTTTTAAGTAATCTCCCCCCCCCCCCCTCCCGAAAACTGAACTCTTTAGTTCCATGACAACATCTCATTGTTCTTTTCTAGTGTTATGATGTCATGTCTGTCAACAAAGAGGCGACAGAGAAATATTGAACAGCTAAAGTGGGAGTCAATTTTTGACTGGAATGAGACTCTTTGACTCAAGCAGATTTCACATTTTCCTATACAGCAGAATTGTTATTATGAAAAAGAGCATGAAGAACATCCTGAATATATCTCCCTAACTTCTCTACACTTCTGTTTCATGTACATCTGTACATCAAACACAAAATGACATGCTAAAAGGCAACAATTTTTATGAGGACTTCCCAAAGACTAACATATACAATCATTTTAAGACCCATGTTTTTAGGTTTTAACACAATTCCAACTAGAACCAATTGTTCCAGGTAACACTGCCAATTAGGGCTTGTGATATAGTGGATTCTATAATTATGATGTACAATTTACTTAAATAAGAATTTACACTGCTTAACATGGGAATATGAACAGGGTTGTAAATACTGAAAAACAGTTAACATATAAGCTCTGTTAATGATTTGCATTGCATTGATGATGACAAAAATGATACATGTTTATTAAAAAAAAAAAATTGTTTTTAATACAAACCATGCTCAAGGGTTTAACATCAGTAAGATTGACCTCCTCCTCATTTCCATACTCGGGGAACAACACAATACAGGTGGGCAGGTCTTGAAACAGCGCCCGGACAACAGCTGGGTAGAACTGAGACAAATATCAATAGTCAATGTTACATTGTGTATCATTACACAGGGAAGTCTAGTGTGTGTATTATTTTTTTCACAGCCAGATAGAAATAAGACAAATCACAAGTCAATGTTTAAAGGTTAGTACAGCATCTGGTTTCAGAGCTTGTGACATTTAGATAAGAAATGTAATCTGTAAAGTGATGACACCAAAACTCTACTTACTGGTGACCTTGTGTCAGAATGTTGTAACACAAACTCCTACAAAAGTTGTTTGTGAACACATACATTAAGTTTCATGACAACTGGATCATATATGCTACCTTTCACTTTAAGTGAAACATTGTGTATTACATAACATTGAATTCCCTTGCTCCTGGAATGATCCATAAACAATTCTGTCAAATTTCATCAGCTAATCTTGACATTTAATTTTCAAATTTTAAAAGACACTCAGTATTAAAACTTTGTGTCTATATACAACTTGAAACCAACTTTAGTTAAATAAACATGATAACCAACCATCACTGGTTGGGGAACCTGTTTATATCCTACCTTGTTATCCTCCCAGTACTTAGCCAGACAGGGGTCACCTTTCTTAAAAGGGGCTGCAGATGGGGGAGGGAAGTTCTGAAACAAACATAATATACTGTGCTGTAGATAGACAATATAATACCTTTTTTCCATATCTGTCATTCTACACATATAGACATAGACTGTTGCCATCCAAACAAGGTTGAGTACTTGTAAGATTGATTAACAGCAAAGCTATAATAATTCCTATAAATACGTAATTTGAATTATTTGACATCCTATGCCTAAGTGCGAGTGGTGGTCATGCCTGTTTTACCTGGTGTACCTACCTGTGGCTGGTTCTGATAAGTTGTCTTGTTAGTTCCTCTCTGGTTACTATTTGCGGACTGGTTTGGTTGTCTCATTGGCCGAGTATTTTGTGGCCCTTTACTGAAATCCTTGTTTTGTTTAGGATCAAAGTTCTGCTGCCCTCCCGAAGGCTGAGTGTCCTGTCTAAACTGTTCTGACTGAGACCCACCATAATGTCTACTTTCACTTTGCCCATATTGCCTACTTTGATTCTGTGAACCACCGTACTGCCGGCTGTCATTTTGACCAAATTGTCTGTTATTATCCCTTCCATATTGCCTATTGTCATTTTGTGATCCATAAGGTTTATTTTCACCTTGTCCGTATGGTTTATTTTCACTACCTTGTCCGTATGGTTTATTTTCACTACCTTGTCCGTATGGTTTGTTTTCACGACCTTGTCCGTATGGTTTATTTTCACCTTGTCCATATGGTTTATTTTCACTACCTTGACCGTATGGTTTATTTTCACTACCTTGTCCGTATGGTTTCTTTTCACCTTGTCCGTATGGTTTATTTTCACTACCTTGTCCGTATGGTTTATTTTCACCTTGTCCGTATGGTTTATTTTCACTACCTTGTCCATATAGTTTATTTTCTCCTTGTCCGTATGGTTTATTTTCACCTTGTCCATACGGTTTGTTTCCATTTTGCCCTCCGTATTGGCGACTGTCGTTTTGAGCACCAGACTGCCTGTTGTAGTTCTGAGATGAGCTTGTCTGATTAGTTGAGCCTCCATCTCTTTTGTTGGTATAACCCTGTGACTTTCCTGGACGGCTCTGGCTACTGGAGTCACTACTATTTCCACTGTTGTTGTAGGCACCACGTTGATTGTTCTGACCTCCTCGGTCCTCTGGCCGAGAACTATTACTATTGACCTGTCCGTTGTTGTAATTATTTTGACCTCTCTGGTTGCCTGTCTGATTATTGTAACTTTGCTTTCCTCTGTCATTAGAAAAGTTAGACTTTGTGGAGGTCTTTTCACTGTTTTGATTATTATGGTACGAAGGTTTCTGTGAGTTTTCTCCCTTTGAGGCATAGGCTGGACCTGTTTGGGGCCGAGAGTCTCTGCCTCCACGGTAGTTTTTAGAGGAGGGGTTATCATCGCGATCATTCCCTTGATACCTTTGACCATAGTCTGAATCACTGTTTCGTTGGTTCTGATTGGTTGAGTGCTGATATTGTGACTTTGTGTATGATGACGAAGAACTCTGGGAAGAGTTTTTCTCTGTTTTTGTATTGCTGCCTGTCAATAGAGAGAGAAAGAGAAATATATTTTAATGAAAACCACTTTTGTTACAGCTAATACAGGACATTCCCTGTAATGTAAAATAAAGATACTATAAAATTTATGTTACTTCAGTTAATATTAATCACTGACCTGGATATTAGTTGGTGGGTGTCTTAATGTGGGAGTGAACCGGAGTAGCCCAGAGAAAACCTAGGTGTTCGGGCAGGTGACCCCATACATTTTCACATCCAATCGAGGAATCAACCCTGGGCACCTTAGTGAAAGGGGAGTGTTATCAACTGATCAACCCGACCATTGATATAGTTACTCTGTAGGACATATATCATAGAAAGGTTGTCAAACAAATTAATGTTTAAATATGATTTATATCTGTCTGAGTACAAATTGTACCACTGATTTACATACAGTTTTCCAATAAGCGCTGGTTCGTTATCATGTTTATCTAACTCAATTTAGTTAATATTTAAAATGTATAAAGACACAAGGTTTAGAGAGTGTCTTTTTACATTTTGAAAATGAACTAATGAGAGTAAAATAAACATGACCACCTGCCATCACCAGTCTAGGGACCCTTTTCTCCAATATAGTTCACATTATTTTTAGAAAACTACATTTTCTAATGGAAGCACATGATTGCTGTTCCAAATTTCGGGGAAACAATTGCTTGAATTATGACATCACAAAGGAAGATGCTGATGCAAGCATTTTCACATGGCATCATAAGTGAAAGAAAATCACATCCAGATAAGGTATCGGTATTACACACTCTGGTGGGCAATCAAAAATGTCAACCCAATCCTAACAGGTTAATACATCGAGTCAGGAAACCAATAGTGGTTATGAGAGAAATGAAACTCTCAAGTACAACCCAAGAAGTTCTCTGAATAGATTACACATATACTAGAAAATTAACTCACAAGAACGGAAAATAAATGGTAATCAATCATCAAGACATCACTCCATCTTAAGTAAACTTATTTCACTCAAGAGGCCAAAAGGGCCTGGATTGCTCACCTGCTTTTAACCTAAAACTACATTAGTTCAGACTATCTCTCAGTCAATAGTCTTGACTAACTCTCTATCAGAATGGCAACAAATGTGCAGGGTTTATATTTAGCATAATTTATCAGGCCATTTTTTAATACAGTGAAACAAAACCCCATTAAATAGTATATGAGGGCTGTGCACTATACAGTAATTTAATAGAGAAAAGGCATTAAATACATATAAGTTTGGTCATTAACCTACTTTTATCATTTGATGGTTTGATCTTAGTTTCTAAGAAGTCAAACAATGTGGCAGGTCCTGAGGGTCGACTTGATCCCATATCCTCCCCAAATTCCTCCCTGTCCCGGCCACGTCCCCGACCACCTAAGAAAGCATTGATAAAGCCATTGATTATATTATGATTACCTTCTGCTAGCAACTTTTGTACTATATGCATTTAGTGATCAACGCATTCATACAATAATTAAGAAATTTGTAAAATTTAAAAAAAAAAAAAAAAAAACAGGTTTAAATTAATTTGCATAATGTTTTTATAAAAATCTTTTTCCAAAGTAAATATGGACAAATGTATGTTATCATAATATATAGATATATGTAAATTCTAACCTCTCGTGTTTTCTCTTCTGTCATCACGTCTGTCGTCTCGTCTGTCATCGCGTCTATCATCTCTCCTGTTGTCTTGTCGGTCCTCTCTGAAGTCCCGCTGTGGTCCCCGCCTGTCACCACGGTCATTCATTGGCCGGTCCTTAAAGTTACTCCTCCCAGTCAGCAACTGATTAATGGCTGATGCTACATCATTGTCGGTTTGTCTGAGCGCCCGGCTGGCTTCCTCAGTTGTGAATCCCATTTCTACGATCCTAGATATTTCTCTGTCCATCCCCACCTGTACAAAACAATGTAACTCCTACAGCAATGTTCTTATAATACTGAAGATTACACTGCTTTCTCACTTAATAACATTTTCTCAATTATTACTTATTCTTTGTGTGACACAAAATGTACATTACCACATCGCTTCATAAAGATGTCTTTCATTTGAGTTGTTTCTCAAGGGTTAACTGCCACAACAATAAAATATACCAGAGACAGTCTAGGCCACCATTGATAACAGCACAATAAAGTATATATCAAAAACAGTAAAGATGTCACCATTGATAATACATGTAGCACAGTTAAATATACCGGAGTCAGTAAAGGTGTAGGCCACTGTTAATAATGGTAAACCGTCGCAAGAATTAAGTTTACCGCAGAGAGTAACCGGTCTAGGCCACCGTTACCTGTTTGGTACCCCCTCCAAACGTCTTGGGCTTGCTTTCCTCCTTAGCCTGCAGTGCTTCAGCTATAGTAGCCTTCCTCTGCTGCTCAAACTCAATCTCCTCTGCCGTCTTCTCCTCTTTCTTATTTGATTCAATGGATTTAAAGTCATCTGAGAAAAAAAGAATCAATAGCTTCTTGTATCTAAATTGAAGTACTTTATAAGAGGTTATGTCTAGTATACCACAGCCACAGGTCCCCAGCCCTGTATTGATTAACAAACTACCTATATCAAAAGTTTACTTCTAGATGGAAATTAGAGTCTTCATCACAACACCAATTTAGACAAAAATATAAAACATAAGTTAGCCTAACTTAGCCATACAAAATGGATTTGCTTGCAGGTTTTATCACTGTTGCAATTTTTTGATTGAGGCCATCATAAAAAACGAATAAGAGACTTTTTCATTCATGTATAAAATATATGTATACAATGTACCGAGTAAAGGTTAAACAAATACTGAAATATTTAAACACTGCATTCAGTTTTCAATATCTGAAAAATACAAATTAAAAGAAAATTGAAATTTGCACAGTGATTCACAATGAACAATGCAACTTATATATTTCATTTATTTCCATTTAATTATTCAAATAACCCCGACATGGAATATGGTTGACTGGAGAATGAAGGACAATTTAATTTTCAACTTTGTAAATCATTTAGTACATTTCTTCAAACCTACCTCTTTTATTGACTTTGACAGCACCCTTTGCATCTCGTATTCTCTGACCAAATGGGACAAACAAGGGGGGTCCTCCTTCTGAGCCTACATTGGCTCTTGATTGTCCGGCTAGCATCTGCAGAATTAAAACAAGTTCAAGGTCAAGTCCTTTATCACTTGGAGCTTTACAGCTCATCAGTATGCAGTGCAATACTATACAAACAGCATTCTATGGACACAAATTACAATGACAGAATTACAGATAACTTGTAATGTAATATTGTACTTAGTGAAGATGAGTTACACACAGTAGAGATACATGAGGATAACATATTTCAGATTTAATATCAGATTGGTGATGACAGTACATTACTATGAAAGTAACAAACAATCACCATATAGGCTGACATCAGCACTACAACATACTTGCTAAAGAGATCTAGAAGATTTGGCTTTGTCTATCTCTCGTACAGCTTTGGCTACTTCTGATAGTACTACATGTATTGAATTTCACAAGGAATCGATCATTTGGACCTCTACTGAACCTCAAAGGAAAAATCGACCTTGATAATGATTCTCCTCTACCCTGTCTAGCATGAAAAAGTGCCATGCACAACATACAAGATAAAGGCAAGTTACAGACCTTTTTAAGCTCCCAGTTCTCCGCGAGTTTGTTGACACGTCCTCCCACAAACACTGTATTTTTGTTGGTTAATAAGAGGAAGCCATTCTCCACCTCTACTGTTCCCTTTATACAGATCTTAGTACCTGGTGGGGTGTCAAGTCTACAAACAACGAATACATATTTTCTAGAGGCAATTTATGTAAAAAAAACAATATATGTGCTGGCAACTTTTACAAACTAATTTTTTTCAGGACAAAACTTATGGAAACAAATGAGGCATTTTCCAGAACTAAACTATGGGGGAGGGTCAGGGGCATTTTTTGGGAACTTGTCGCTAGTATGAATCAAGTACATGACTAGTTCTAGTAGTAATAGGACAAATATAAACCATCCTTTCACCCATTATTTTTAAAATGTACCTTCCATACCTCCCAAATATTTATTTCTAGAAAAGCTCTCATCATTGCAAGATTTACTATTAAATCTCAAAACAGTTTGTAAACTATATGAACAGAATTTGTATCAATCAAATGGATGTGGCTTACCCTATCCTTTCCAGTCTCTGCATTTCAATAGCATTGCAGGTCTGCTGTCCATCAGTCAGTGCCAGTCTTAGCATACGGGGTGCTGTTTGAGATTCCTCATGTTCCTTTGGGGCCGAAATGTTGCGGATCTTCTGGATCTGGAGAACACCAGGACCTTCCACCTGCAGGGCGAATAATGAAGAAACCATGCATAATTAATCATTCTGTTCTCTAAAACAAACTAACAGTGCATTATTATTTTCATTTCCCATATAAACTACCAAGGTACACTGATAAATACATATGGATTCCTTAGAAGTGGAACTTGATTTTTGTGTTTTGCACAGAACTATATTTTTGTTCTTTTTGTGGTTGGAATTATTTGTCCACCTCCATAAGACATTTTTTTTAGTAAACTACACCATAAATTCAAATGATTCATCTGGACAAATGCTCAGGGGAACTCATAAAGGCCTATTAAGGTGATGTAAATACTCAATTTCTATTCAAACTTTTAAATGAAAGAATTGACTTGAATATTTATATTGATACTATTAAACCATTATGAACATACTATATTCGTCAAGGTTTTATAAAAACTATAGTTGATTTTTTTATCAGGGCATATTTTATACATATTTTATATTAAATTTGACAGTATGATTAACAGAATCTTCACCTACCGTGAGGGTTTGACAACAGAAATTCCAATCTGAAGGGTGATATTCTTGATTGTCTTAATCAAAGCTGGCTTCATACCGAGGGTAGGGTAGAGACATTCATGAACCTCACCCCGAGGCTTCATACCAAGAGTAGAGACATTCATGAACCTCACCCCGAGGCTTCATACCAAGAGTAGAGACATTCATGAACCTCACCCCGAGGCTTCATACCAAGAGTAGAGATATTCATGAACCTCACCCCGAGGCTTCATACCAAGAGTAGAGATATTCATGAACCTCACCCTGAGACTTCATACCAAGGGTAGAGACATTCATGAACCTCACCCCGAGGCTTCATACCGAGGGTAGAGACATTCATGAACCTCACCCAGAGGCTTCATACCGAGGGTAGCGACATTCATGAACCTCATCCTGAGGGTAGAGACATTCATGAACCTCACCCTGAGGCTTCATACTGAGGGTAGAGACATTCATGATCCTCACCCAGAGGCTTCATACAGATGGTAGAGACATTTATGATCCTCACCTCGAGGCTTCATACCAAAGTAGAGACATTCATGAACCTCACCCTGAGGCTTCATACTGAGGGTAGAGACATTCATGAACCTCACCCCGAGGCCTCATACCGAGGGTAGAGACATTCATGATCCTCACCCCGAGGCTAATCATACCGAGGGTAGAGACATTCATGAACCTCATCCTAAGGCTTCATACCGAGGGTAGAGACATTCATGATCCTCACCCAGAGGCTTCATACCGAGGGTAGAGACATTCATTATCCTCACCTCGAGGCTTCATACCGATGGTAGAGACATTCATGATCCTCACCCAGAGGCTTCATACCGAGGGTAGAGACATTCATGAATCTCACCCCGAGGTTTCATACCGAGGGTCGAGACATTCATGAACCTCATCCTGAGGCTTCATACCGAGGGTAGAGACATTCATGATCCTCACCCCGAGGCTTCATACCGAGGGTCGAGACATTCATCACCATCACCAGAGGATTGTGACTTCTCTATCATACCTTTCTTGTAATGATTGATTTTCCTCTAATCCTATCATTAAATTATATTTTCCACAAAAATAGTTATCAGGATTTGTAATCTACCAGTCTTTTTGTTCTGATCTACACATTAAAAACTGATGGAGAAGTTTTATTTTATTATCCCTGTTACATCATTGTATTGTTTTCTTCAATATGCTGTCCTTTACACTCTTGTGGGTGACAGAGAAGTCTTGAACAAGAAAAACAGGAAACATAACTGTGAATAAAGGGAGAGAAGACAATCTACTTACATATTCACACTTTCCACGATTTAGATCCTCTGGCAGCCATTTTTCACCAATCTCACGCAAATCAGTCTAAAAAAGAAAATCTTGACAAGTTTAATATCACTCAGACAAACTACTACCATATTAAACGGAGTTTCTCATAGCAACTTTTACAATCAGAAAATATATTACGAGGAATGCAGCTGAGATCTTTCTGTCATCCACCTCTTTTATTTGACCATGCAAAGGCAGTATCATAATGCCTTGGGATGTCATACAGAATAAAAATAGATATCAGTGATTTCTGCCTTATTTTCACAAAATGTAGAAAAAATATCAGGAATGTTTTCTAAATTTGTATATAAATGTAATGACATTATCATGATTGGTGCTTTTTTCCTTAATCACAGTTTTTAAAGATATATGTGCTTGGATATTACATGAACATTATGGAGGAAATATATGCCATTAGCCTTAAATAATTGAATACTCTTAAAATAACCTTTGTGTGTTTTGAATATTATTAAATCAACTAGAAGGAGATATACACATAATAACTAATCATCCCTCTTTGATAAGGACCTCTATTTCACTACGATATAGTAAGTAAACTACTCAACTTACATTTTTAGCTGCCTCTATAATTTTTTCTGTGGACACACAATTTCCAGCTGCTGCTGAACAAAACGTTAATCCCTCTGCTGTCAGATTCCTAAAATTAAAAGTAAGCACACAAACAAAGGCAATGAGTGAAAATTCAACTTTCTTAAAAGATCAAAAAATTTCAATACAATGTACTGTGTACTGGGAATTTTTTGCGGCAGTTTGAATTTTCGCCCTCTGTAATGAAGGAGAATTTATGATAACAGCATTATAAGTAAACAGCATAATACACATACAGTAATAAAACATGAAGGGCAGAATTAACACGGGGCGAAAATCAATTTCATTGGTAAAGGACGAATGTTTGACTAGGAGAAAATTTCCTAACATATTGTACTTATTTAATGAAGACTATACTTCCAAACTGTTCATCATGGTATATTTGCTTATTTTTAAATAAGTTCAGGGGAATAGAAATAAGATTTTTTTTAAGTCTGCAGTAAATAATTTCCTAAAAAGCAACAAGAAAAAAAAATCTTTCTTTTGTTGTTTTGTCCTTATAATTCCTTTGTGTATCTTCAGTGATATTTGTAATATTTCAATTAATTTTGGTATTCTTCCCTATTGAACTGACACTGGTTCGAAATAACATGTAATAATAAATATATATGAAAGATTATATTTGATGCCTGTGACCTGAGGGAGTATTACCCTTGAATCAAGGTAGCACTTTTGCAACTTCCTTCAATCAAAAGATTAACAAAATAACCTATACAGAATATATTAACCTTAAAACCATTGGAATAAATTACGGAAATGACTATAGATGTTTTAGATGAAATGCCAGTTCCTAATATCAGACGGCTGATAATCAGCATAACTCTCAATGGCAACTGATTGATTGTTGGAAAGGTAATCATTGGCCATTTATATTGGCCATTTATTGTCATTTCCATGTTATCCCTGATATCCAATTAGTTTAAATAAGTAATTGAAAGGCATTTACTGCATTGAACTATTTGTTTGTATTTGCACATTTTTGTGAATTTAATCATGAATTTTTCAGTGCAACTAATCTGGGTCCCTCACAAAAGTGTGAAACTGGTCAAGGGTATCAGGAACATTGTCTTAGGTATTACTGTATGATCCAGCCAGTGCACAAGCCAGCTGGGTCTTTGGTATTACTGTATAATCCAGTGCACATGGTAATTGGGTCTTAGGTATTACTGTATGATAACTGGGTCTTAGGTGTTACTGTATAATCCAGCCAGTGGTGAGTGCACAGGATAACTGGGTCTTATGTGTTACTGTATGATCCATTGCACATGACAACTGGGTCTCATGTATTACTGTATGATCCAGTGCACATGATAAATGACCTGTTGTAGCTGACTTTTTAGTGTCATTGTGGCCAGGTATACAGAAGGATTTTTACTGAGTAAGACAATTTATTGACTGCATTATTATGAAAGAAAGTGAGGATGGGAGCACCAACAGATTTACTGCTTTATAACCCTTTCTATATTAAAGCTTTTTCTTGTGTTGGGTAGGGGTGGTGGTGGCAGGGCACTGCATGTCCCCCCTCTCTGAATCTGAAACTGGTCTACGTTTTTAAAAATACCAAAACATTACTCCTATATAATTAAATTAAATCCATTTTCCTTGTTTTTTGAAAATAATGTTCCAAAACTTTTCAGGTGTGCGACATATCCTATCACTTTATTCTTATGTCAACACATAAGGGTGACTTGAAATAATGTATTTTTCATTTTTCCGTTGCTATTCAACACGGATATCAAAGCTAAGCCTAATATTCTTCGATTTACAAAATGAAGTGATGCAGTGATGGAACAACTGTTTGACAGACACATGCAGAATATATTGATAACATTTTATTATGACCATCACCATGTTTGTCATAATAACTTTCACGAAGTTCAATTGCAATTTCAACTATTGGTCTTATAATGTGTCCAGTGATGACCGATGGTAGGGCAGCCTCTGGATCTTTGATTTTGAATCAATGGCATTACGTAAAGTTGAGAAAAAAAATACTGCCATGTTGATATATTGTGAACAATGTTTTATAAAGCACACGCATATATTAATTTCTAGGGTTCCGATGAGTATCATTTAAATAGCAATAGTTAGCTGGTTGAGGAGAGTTCACAACACATAAAAAATAACTACACACCATCCTTTTGATCTCACGGCAGACTCCGCCATCTTCAATACACGTCGAAAACAGTTAAATCAATTCTGATTGGTTGATTGGGAAACCTGGGAAATCCCTTTGGACCGTGCCTATTTCGAGCACGAATTGTCAAAAGAAATAAAATTTCGGTTGCAATTCAAGAAAATTGTGTTAAAACGAATATAGGACAATGACTTTTATCAATAAAATTTCGAAAATATCAATAATTTGAATACATGAGGGTTTCCTCTAGTTAAAAATGTAACAAGTCACGTGATTGGTTAATTTTTGGGTGTATTGTCAAAATGGCGCATAGAATGACTAACTTTAGGAAGAAGAACGGTGCCAACATCACATCCTCTGCGATTCTATAATTAGCAAGAGTGCGACCCACGTGTTAAAGATAAAAATACCAAACGGAAACTATTGATACATTTAGTTACGTTGTCAAGGTCATATTTAGATTTCCTTTTCGTTAGAAATCGACAGATGTCAATCTATTTGCACAGTTTGGTTCATTCATGCAATTTCTACTGTTGACATTAGCTCTGTTATTGTCAATGCACATGCTCACTGCTGAGCGTTCTTGTGCTATCTCAATGTAAGCATGTGATTACAAACGTAGTCATTTGTTTCCTGGTGACTGGAGTTAATGACATAGTTTAAAAACCGTGTCGGATAGATTTTTCCGGATGTGTGTCACAAACTGAACTGAAGCATGGATAAGAAAGAAAGAGATAAGCGAGGCAGTTTTGTAAGTATTATCTTCCGTAACACATCCGTACAGAGTGTTTGCTGTTCACTTGGTCCTGTACTACAACACAGTGTAGATAACACACTTGATATATAGACCCATTGTTTACAGATGTGACTGGTAGTGGTATGATGATCATGTCCTGGTACAGTTTACATCATATGCTCCTTGGAATGTGTTTTACTGTGGATTTTTATTGAATTTGATTCGTTATATGAAGTGAATCATTGTTTAAATGGGACATCTGATTCATCGTCACCATTTTGAGCAGATTAATAACTAACTGGAGGTGGTGACGCCTGTATCCATTGGCAATCTTTTCTGATTATGAATTGTCACATGAGTTGCATTTTGAAATTACTTAAACAGAATGTGATGAATATGGCTACATCAATGCTCCTTTATTAGATAATATTTGGAATTCAATTGACATTTCAAATTTGGTGGTGCAAAGTATATTTGAACAATGCAGCGGGGTAGGGAATCTAAAAAGTCCAAATTTAAACCTAAGGTGAGTATATACATTGTACAATCTATTTTATTGATAAACAAAATCATTAATAAGACATTAACATGTCATATACTTTAGTTTGTAACAAGCTGTTATGAGGTTATAATATTGTGTTTAAACTTCAAAATTAGATGTAACTGGCTTGTTCATACCTACGTTTACGTCTATCGTGGAATTAGAACGTAATGATATATTGGTAATACATTTTAAGTATGTATTTATAGTTTTTAAGTATGTATTTATAGTTGTCAATATGAATATATTTTATGCTTCTCCATTAAGTGTAATCCTTGTTCATACCTGTACATATTATTGTAACCTCTGGCCAGTTGAATTTTGGCATTTACATATATATATATATATATATATAGGTCAGTTTAAGACTATGTAACAAGGGCTAGTGATGTAACTTCACATACAAGTTTATGTGCCTTGATGAGTACAGCACATTTCCTCTGCATTTTTTGTGACCTTCACCTTTGACCTTGATTTCTGGTGACCTTGGACCAAAGGTTTGGTTAAGTTCTTGCATTTAGGTCAGTTATGGACCAAGTATAAATACAGTAATTACTGTAGCTAGGGTCATGCAACTTCACATGTTCATGTTAATGCTTGTCTATGAGTAAAGTATGATGCATAATGTATTGTAACGTTGACCTTAATCTCTTTGACCTTGCTCTCGTTCCTAAGTGTGAGAGCTGATCATCCATGCCTAATACTGACATATTTCTAGTTTATGTGTGTGAGAATGTTTGAAAATCTGTTTTATTCAGACTCAGTCATGGATATATATATATACAGGCCTTTTTTTGTAAGCCTATGGTTGGGTGACATTTGGGACCCTAGAACATGAAACAGTCATATAGGCCTAACATAAGTCCTATGTACTTATTATATGCTCATCATATTTAGGTAAAAAAAATCAATGACAATTGCAAACTGAAAATGGCTGCAGTGTGTATGGTGCACATATTGCATAGATACATATGTAAGCAAGTGGGTACTAGCTGTCTATTCTATTAGTTGTGATTTAAAAAATGTTACAGTCTTCTTGTCACTTGTGTTTGATACATGCATGCATGTGCACACATAAAATCTAGGTCATGAAATTGGATAAAAATGTCTATATTACATTTCTGCATATAGTATTTCATGAAAACATGCACATGTGTCTATTAAAAGTCAATTTTGTGTGAGAACAATGTGAAAGTTGGGGAAATGTCTATAAAAAACAACAACAAAAACCTGCATAGAAGTACAGTCGAGGCATACATTAGGGTAACAAATTTACCAATCAGAACATTTCTGTTTAAAAATGCAGGACAACTGTCCAGGAATAGCTTACAAAAGCACATGTACATCATTTTTTTCATGTTGTGTAACATAAATAGTAAAAAAATTGTCGGCTTCATCATTTATAACAAATACTTTGATTGATGTTATCGTTCATGTTATATTTCAGCTTGATAAAGTAGGTGGGACATTCCGACTTGGTAGTAAGGATAAAGCCAAGAGTAAGTCTAGTACATACTCAGGTCGACTGCCATCAACAACTGAGTCGGAAGAGACAAATGGATCCCAGTATGGATTTGGTCCTCAGCAGGATGGTATCAGCACCCTGTCTGATAAAGAGGTCACGGAAAAGTTCGAACAAATGCTGGTAAGTTTTATATTACACCAATTACAAAAAAATAAAATGTTACTGAATGTTTATAAACAATTATTCACCAACTGTTATCACAAGGTTCATGGTAAGATATTAGACACCATTTGAAAAAAAACAACGTTTTAATCTCTGACCACTGGTGGTTGTTTCTTAGATCATCTTTGCGAGTCTCTGTGAGGCTGTATCATGAAACACCTAAGTAAAAGTAAAGTAGCACAATACACAAAACTGTGAACACTCAATTACCATAATTTTGATGTGGTGATGAAGAGCCTCTGGTCATGCTACCTGTATAAATCAAGGGGGTGTACATGTAATCCACAGTTATCTAGATAGATATTAATGCTGATATAAAATAATAATATAGACTAGTTCATTGTTACACCATGAAGTTCTGTTTCTTATTTTGAACTTTTATGATAGATTTTTTTTTTGCTACTGTGTGCTGTCACCAGCTGTTATGTAATTGACATGAAATAATTGTTATACAAAATATCACTGTATACTTGCTGGAACAGATGTGAAGCATGTAAATTGTGTAATTGTAGCTGGTATTGTAGTCACAGCCATTATGAACTGCTTGTAATTTTGTATGTAAAAATCTATAGATGGTTTACCAGAGCTAGAGGTTCATTTTGAATACCACTAGTCGATCAGGGTATTAGTTTCCAATTTTTACTATTCCATTCCACTACCCAATATTATTCAACAAGATATCGGGTAAGCAATATCAAATTTTGACTAGTCAATCAGGGAGTAATAGAACAATTCGATGGATCATGCTGAAATAGGATAACATCAGTATCTGATATATCCAGTTAACATCCTAGTTTGTAGGTCATCTCAAAGCGGTTCACAAATTATTATCCGTGGTTAAAGGGCCTTTGCAACCAGTCAATACATTTCTCAATTCCCTGGGGAGCATACAGCTGGAGCTGCCATTTCGGCGCTAACAGCTAGCATTCAACAATTCTAGCACTGCCCAACCACATACTCATTTAAAGCTGAGTAGACTTGAACAAGCGGAGTAAAGTATCTTGCTCAAGGATACAACACATTGCCGTTCCATGGCGCGAACCTGCAACCCTTCGGTCACAAGCCCGGTGTCCTACCACTGGACTACCGTGCCTCCACAAGAAAATAGAGTTTTACTATTTTGATAGTGGACATTTTCTAATGAACAAAACCAACTGGATGACTTCTGAAAATTATATAGTCTTGAACAGAAAAGATCCAGAATTTTTCAAACTTAAGCATTAGAGCTGTAATTATAAGCCCACTATCTGAAATCAGAATCCCTGGGGACTATCATATAAGAGCAGGCACCTATATTTCACCCAATACTGTAGGTAAGGTCATTTTTGGGTTTCCCTTATTTATTTGGCCAGTTACGTGTAATTTACATGCAATGATGCATGCTTGCACACTGGAAATAAAAACCTGTAGCAGAAAAATGTAAACCATAAAATGCACTCACAACACAGTGTATGTGTATGTGCATGGTTTGATAGAAAAGGTCTTGAATGGTTTAGTAAGATGAAGTTTATCCAGACACACAGTTTAGGGTGTATCTATAAGGCCATTGCTGAGATATAAATCAGACCCAACTAAGACATTTATTTTATAAAACTCATCAAAGGGGTATAACAAAGTTGTATATAACTAGTATCTCTATCCGCATGATCTTATTTCTTCATTTAGGTTGTATTTGATCTTTTGATGCTGCTGAATTTTAGTTGAGGTTTTAAAATACTGTCTAAGTTCTTTTATTATTGATTTGCCTGCCTTCCATTGTTGTCCTATTTTTGTTTTGTAACAATCTGCCTGAAGGTGAGATGAAAGAGAATTTTATAAAATTAATCGATCGAATGGGTCTGATATTTCTGTGTGATACATTCAGCAGTCAGTAGAATATATGGTCTATTAGCTAATCGATTGAGTGGGTCTGATGTTTATCTGTGCACATTTAGTAGACAGTAAATTCTGTTGTCTACTGAATAACTGATTGAGTTAGTCCATTAGTATCTGTTTTGTAGACCAGTAGTAGTACACGAGTGACCAGCTGATTTAGAGTACATATTCTTAGTTGATGCTGACCAGCTGATTTAGAGTACATATTCTAAGTCGATGCTGACTAATTGTGTCACAATGTATAGACCATGCATGCTGTTTGTGTTTGAAGTGTGTATATAAGTGTGAAATGTCACATCCTTATATGTTTACAATTCCAGGCATAGATGTTCCTGAAGTTTTACATGGAAACTAAAACTTTGACCTAAATTATAAAAGTGCCCCTCATAACATCTCCGTACAAACATATTAGTGGAAAACTATATTGTAGCATTGTAGAGTTGTATTTATAACTAACATATATATAGGTCTCATAAGTAATAACGACAGTATGATCAAATAATGGCACTGGATCCAAACAAACAAATGTTGGTTGGATGCGTATTACTTAAATAGATATATGGGCAAAGAAGTAATACTGACAGTGCAGACAAAGAAATAACATATAGCTATACATCATTTGATTTTTTTCCACATGTGATAGTTCATACTTTCCTATACAAATAACATAATTATACTATAGTCCCAAATACTACTGCCTGATATGCTTCTGTGTCTTATACTTTCTAAGATAGAAATCTCCTGAGGTATGGAACCCCCTGCCTTATATGGTCTACAATAGAACTCTGTGGTAGTGAACCCTCTGTTCTACTTTTGTGTCCCTGGAACTCATCAAACTTTAATTACCAGGTTGAAATTTGCTGTACAGGTAATTTACCTGTAACATAAGCTACCTTCCATGGTGTTGTGTCACTTGATTTCCTGATATGCAGTAGACTAGGTTGATATTCTTACCTTTAATGTAAGTCAATAGTCTTACCCAGAGCATTTAGATTGGAATGTGAGTACCGATATCTGAAATGTATCTCAAATGAAATTTATTTCATTGAATTCAATAAATCAATGTTTCTACAAGTGTTCACAAAAACCACACAGCTGCCGAGGCTGAAGGTCACAGGTCAAGGTCACAAGGACATCTGGCTAATATTTTTGGAAAGTAAAAGACTGACTTGTGTTTTGATGATAATCACTGATCAAGAGAACTGCTTAATCAGCAATCGACAGGATTTCATTTTTATTATATTCTGTAAAATTTATTAAACAATTGTATCAAATTGTACATTTGGGCAAGAGAGCATGTCCTCACAACGAGGCAAAGGATTATCTATAAACAATTGTGCACACCATTTATTTTTTTGCCATCTCATAAATGTACTTTGTTTTGGAAACATCTTTTTCGAGTTACCATAATTTGTATCCTTGATAAAAGCATTGCTATATCTGCTTCTTTCTACACAATAGTAGCAATGTGTTGCCAACACATTCTTTGTCCGTTTTCCTACACTGACACAAAATGGTTGATAAGGTAGAAATTATCTGTTCTTTGAAATACTCCGGTATGATCCTATTGCTTCTGTACACACACAACTGTACGTGTAGCAATGGATGTGACAAGTCTGAGTGGAGATCAGTCAGAGGCAGGGTCTTACCAAGGTGTTAATGATTACCCCAGGCTCTTGTGCCTGATTGCTTCTCCAGGTATACATGTGTGATAACCTACATACCGGGTAATTAGTTGGAGCTGAGGTAGGCTTAACCGGCTGGATAGGGTTCAGGAGATCCACTGTCATTGAGGGAAACATGCTCTTTAAAAGTCATGGACATTTATTTCAGACTTTTCCTGTTACTTCCATGCATGATTTTAATGTACACGTTTGAAATATACACGTGATACATATCTTATTGGCAATGTGATGCAATAAGGTCCTTAGTTGCCATGATTTCTGTGTATATTATCAAAGATCAGTCACTAACCTAAGTTTCATTTTTGGATGTGGTTCAGTGGAAACATGAAGTTGTATTTTTTTCTCATAATTTATCCCATAAGTAGTCAGCTATTTATATTTTCGACACTGATTCACCTCGGATGAAAGTGATATAGCACACCCAATAATTAACAAGAAGTATGGCACACAAGTAGGTTAAGAAACTGTCAAGTTCAGCGGAGATGTTTATTGTCATATAATATAGTCTGCAAATCTGACTACAAACTACAAATTTATATATACAAAAGGTGTATTTATGTATTTATAACTATTTACACAGCTGTTGTGATGGCCGTTACCAGTATTGTAAGACTTCATTGACTGCTATAGATAACTGTTACAGGAGACAATCATGTAGGCCTACACAATAATGTTGTCTGAAGTATACTTAATGGACCAAACGTGCTATATATCAATGCGACCAGTATACGTAGATGTCATGCTCTGTAAACAAGCAATAAATGAAGATAGCAACATGCTCATCTACATGAATCAGGAAATTATTTCTGCAAGAAATTTTTTTGTTTTGTTATACTAGTATTCAATAACTGCCTGTATGTACCAAGTAGGACTTTAAGAAGCTAATGTTAAGTGATTTTATCCCCGTTCACAGCATCACATCCTATTGTCATGTAAGACAAGTAGGTTCGCACCTAATGTTTCCACCTGTACACTGTACTACACAGGTATGTGGCTAGCTACCTGTACACCTATGTCGGCCCTGTGTCCCCAGGCACCACTGGTGATACACTACTAACAATTAATGGAAACACTTTAACTACAATGGGAGTAGCTCAGTCTATGTGATGCAAGGTTGAATGAAATCTCATTACTTTCCATGTAAATTTTGTTCCGTGTTGAGGTGTGATGTAACACAACAAAAGTGCATACTTGTCTGTGTCTGACTCAGCGACCTTAATTCACCTTAACAGGTCTTTTATGATCAGATCTTGAATATTCATGATTTATGTAATTTAATTATGGGATTAAAAAAATTACTTCATTAATATTCGTAACCATATATTAACTATTGTACACCTTTACATCAAGAAGGACTGGTACAATGTTTTACAGTGCCCAACAACCTGAGGAATGTTA